GCACCTGATCGACGCCACCATCAATGAAATTTCTTCTGTCTACATACCCGCCCCAAACAGCCTTTATGGTCAATATGATCCTATTTGGTTGGTATGTGCTAAGAACTTCTACAGACAAGCTTGATATTTCTATGAGCCTAGAATTGCATGAACTACACATTTTAAAGAGTTTCCTGTGTAATATACGTATACAATATATGAATTCAACAATGTCACAATCTTAGAAGGCTCTCAATCAACAATTATGAAAGTCTTCTAAAAACGCTCAGTGAAGGCGCAAAGCTTCAGTTAGAACGTAATATACAAATAACAAGATGTCGTCTTCTGAACATATAACAACAAAATAGTATCCATCAAATCATTCAGTCTCAAGAAATCTTAAAACCATTCTAAAATAAGTTTGCTATTTTCGCGCACATTAGATTAAAAAAAAAATTGATAAGAGCTACATTTTTTTTAATTTAATCATTAAACAATGATTGTCCAAGCAATGAAATAAAGTCATAGCTTTTTTATTTTATAAACGACACAAAATAACGATGGGAAAATTGATCTCTGGAAACAGTAATCCGTACAATGATTTAACTAGCTTCACAAAAAGCAAAGCGATACTTCAATGGAACCAAAAAACCAACTGTTTAACACTTTTACTCCGAAAGGATTCAACACTCATAGAATTGTACTTCCATCGCCTGCGGTGCATTGTCCACCTATGCAACTACTTGATCGCATGCAGCAAATGACTGATTCAAGCTTAAGTTCCGCAATGCTGAGACCACTGAGATTCGCGTGCACGACCAGTGAGAGTAACTCCGTGACTGAGTCGAATACAACTCAAAAGTGCAAAAAGTGGGGTTACTGAATGCGCAACATTTTCCTCACTTTTCCAGGAAAAACGGCATAAATTATCTGATTAATTTTTCCTAATTTTGAACAAGTATTTCCTGGAAAATTGAGCAAAATTTTTCTCACTCACTGATTAGGCCCAGCATTTGCACTTTTAAGTCGAATTCGACTCAGTCACTGATTTCCTCTCATTGACCATGTACACTAAGCAAGTAGAACCTCCAGGTATGTCTCCGTTTATGCCATAACCGTATGCAGCAGCGTGGTCTGGTCTTCTTTGTCAATGCACCGAATGCGCGCGCGGGAACGTTGTTCGCGTCTGTGTCCATGCTCTTGGTGACACGAGACCAGTAAAACTTGGCATGCTCCGTGTGTGATCTACGCACAGTGAAGCACTTGTGTACCAAACGTGCGCTAAATTAAGTTGGATTATTTGTACATCATAAATCACCCATGAATCTATAAAAAATAATATCTTACTTTTCTCATGATTCATTTAGGATTTTTTTAATGATTCAATTAAATAATGGAATGTATAATTCATTAAACTTTCAGTACATTCATCTATCCATCGAAAAAGATGCATACTAGTTAAAAGGGCCGTAGCTTCTACCATAAAAAGTACAAAATACTTTTATCGAATATAAGCCCTTTTATATTGACAGGGGCAATATTGCAAGGATGGATGAATTTAAAATGCTATACGTTTTTCATTATATGCGAGTGTTACGCTAATGTGCCAAACATTGCTAAAATACAGTTGATTCTAGCTTATTGTAAGGATAGTAAACAAAACCTTTGAATGCCAATAAACTGTCCAACGATTCGATACAGACAACACTCTAAAATAAAACTGTAAAACACAGGCATTCAAAGGTTTTGTTTACTATCCTTACAATATAAGCTAGATTCAACTGTATTTGAGCAATTTTTGGTGTATTAACGCAACACTTGCATATAATGAAAAATGTATAGCGTTTGAAAATTCTATGGCTTTAAACTCAATTTGTATGTTTGGATTATGATCAGGTTTTTATTTCATTTACTCCACTGTGTAAGGGCGAAAAAAAAATCGAAACTAAAAAAAAAAGTTAGGTACAAGACACTATGCAGCAGAAACAGATCGTCGCAGTCTTCGCAGTCCGCGCGCGCATGACGATGAGTGGGTTCCGCACTCATGAAGCGGTTTTCGGTTTGGGTCTGTGGCGATTCCGCGAGGAGAGGAAAAAAGACAAACGTACGGACAAGAATCATACTTTTCCGGACCAGCAATCAAGGGCAACTTGTTGTTATTATTTATACTTTTACACGGCAATCGTTCGTTAGGCTGGTTTATGTATGAAAGTTGAATAAACTACAGTCGATTTTTTGACTTTAAGTGATCTTTATTTCTTGTATTTGTGTGGTTTACATGTATGAATAATTATAAAGTGACATAGATGCGTCTTTTAAACTTTAGTTCATTTCAAATTTTAAATTATTATATAAAGTTCCTAGTCCTATCATGCCTGTTTGGTAGAATGGCCACCTTGGTGGGATTGGTTTGTTTTAAATTGGAAAAAGGAGACTACTTATAACTACTATTTACAACTACAACTACTATATACACCTAACCTATTATATACAGTCAAATTTTGCTCGTTGGGCTACGTTTTAGTTGGGCACCCGTTAGTTAGGCTGTAGTTCACTTACGTCAAACGTAATTTCTGACAGTGCTGATTCTTTTTCAAGGAGCTCATGGATGAACAATTTGAATAGTAACTAAACGATTTTGATGATAATAAACCTTCGGTGTTCAACCAATTTTCAGCAGTCTTCACGAAACATAGACGGCTTTGAGCTCGAGTTTCAATTTCTTCAGTGCAAGTTCATTGAACGCGCGTGTTACCTTTCGAACTCAGGTGTACTCTGCACATCGAACGTGATACTCCGTACCTGCACGCAAGTGTGAACATTGAGGCTTGCTATGTTGCAACAGAAAGAACAGACGAAATCGATGAACGCTTCTTATACGCCTTTAGCCTACACATCTTTCAGAGTAATAACAGACGAGAGGTAAACATGCCAGTCTGATACACTCAAAGTTCATGGTTCGAGCTTGAATTATTCCGATTTATATTCTTTTTAATATCATTCATTCTTTCCAACGCCAACGCCTGTTTGCTGCACTTGAATACGAACGATGTTTTTTAAACGCTGAAGCAAACGATGTGCGGACATAAACGTTGTTGAGGTGTGTGTATGAGGGAATGCTTATGCAATGCACATCAGTGAAGTTGGTGAAGTGGTTGAGACTAGGGTACTGATGCATGGTCAATATCGGTGTCATTTGTTTACTTAGGAATACGATTTTGACTGACAAACGGGCGTTCCTTTAGAGGGTGCTCTAACTCTTCGAAGGGAAATTTCAATTAAAATCGGTTCCGTGCTATGAAAAGAAGAATGACCGTATCAAAACCGAATGCTTCATCATTTCTCAATAGTAATGGAGTAAAACGATATGCAGAGGGAACAAAAAGTGGGAGGGGCCTTAAATGACAAGTATGGAACGATGCGTGACGTTGTTGACGATTGTGCACGACATATTTGAATCGACCTCTACTAAACGTCAAAGTTCATCCACTTCTTTTTTCAAGGTTTAGTAGAAAATTATTTATTGTTTTATTTAATGAACCAAATTACCAAATTCAGATAATTGTGAAACACAGCAAATAACCAGTAGGAGAATTATTTATGGGATTTGTTGAAATTTACTTATAGCTGATAGCACATGGGGGTACATGGGGGTTGACATTTGAAAAGAGCCTATTTCGTATAGAAAATCTTCAATATCTTTTGATAGTAGAGAGCTACAGATTTTATTTTTCGAGCAAAGTTGTGTATTTTAACGAGTTCTTAAAGTTCTTTAAAACAGTTTTTTCGAAAAATTTGAAATAAAAAAGAGCTGAAAAACTGATTTTTTTTTTGTGGACCCTAATGCAGTTCAGAAAAAATCTCTAAATTGAAAACGGTAAGAGATACAAATAATTTTTTTTTTCAACAAAGTTGCTTGAAATTAACTCACCAACAACTTCTTTGAACAATGTATGCATTTATTTTTTTAAATAAGAAAGTTGATTTTAGGAATACAAAAAATTAAAGGATCACCCTAATGTTTGAAGGCACCAAAAGAAGGATAATTTTTAGAAGAAAAACTTCACTGAAGACACCAAACACTATGGACTTTTGTCTTGCTAAATTCCAATTCTGGACCACTGTGCAATGGCTCAACGGGCAACAAGCAGAGATATTATGCCTCAGAACATCCCGGCGGCGCCGACTGGGATTGAACCCAGGCCCTTTTGGGGTGAGAGGCAATCACGCTTACCATTACACCACCGACGCCGCTAATACTTTTTTCCCTGATTGTAATTAATGTAATTAATTGCAAATCACTCATACCTCGACTGTAATCAAATGCATGTTGGTTTCCTTTAGGTGGTTAGGTGGTGTGTCGAAAAAAAAAAGGTTTCTGTCCCCTACGTGATGTATGGAATCGAAGAGTGTACTACATATATTGTTCATATAGTATATTTGCTTCCATGTAGGTAAATCTCAATTGGCAAACCTACTGAACTAGGAACAGCTCTTCTGAACCAGCCTAACCTGTATACTAACCCATGTTATAGTTAATATATTAGGCGATCAACTTTACACTTCATACTAGCTCGGTCTGTACCATGAATCGTTGTTGCTGTTGTTGTTATTGAAGAGCTGTTGTCGCGGTTCGGCTTCATTCATCGGTAACGGCTGACGGCCAGGGTGCCGATGTCTCTTTCTTTCGTGCCAGCGTCGATTTCCGCAAGCCAGCCGGACGACGTCGCTGCTGCTGTTGTCCTCCCCCGCGCTCGGTTGCGCTCGTTGCAGCACAGTTAGTGTATGCTAGTGTGGTCGACGAATCAATTTGTTGGCCAAGGAGCAAAATAGCGCAGAAAATCCTGCTGCTCGCGTTCTCTTTCACTCGAGCACCAACACAAACGCACATACACCCCTGTACGATCGACACACGAGCCCACGAACCTCGCTGGGGAAAGAGAGTACAGGTCATGTTAGAATATAGAAACGTTGGATCCCGAGCGCGGGCTGGGTGTGGTGTTACTATAAAAGACAAGAATTGATCCTCCAAAGATCAGTGTTCGGTACTCAATTGGAAGTTTAGTGTTAAGCGACAAAAATCGTTCCGGTAACACCGAAGTCCAATCTGAAGCAAAAGTGTGAATCCAAGAAAATAACAAAAATGTACTCGAAAATGGTAAGGATTGGTGAATGTGAAACAAAGTGAAACATTTAGTGAAGATTCCCCGGATTAGGTGGAATCGTTTTTAAAGGACTTTTGTGATGAAATGAGAGTGGACAGTGATCGAAGAATATTCGTTGATAATTGAACACGTGTTTTTGGATTGCAGATTGCTGTTTTGGCGTTTGCCGCCGTTGCTGTTGCTGCTCCACAGCACCAGGAAGCTGCCCGATTCCCAGCTGGAGTGGATCCGGCTGCTTGTCCATCATACCCCAACTGCGACAACGCCGCCCTGCACAACCCACAACCACAAAACAATCACGCTGCTAACCACTGGAACCCGAACTGGAACGCTCAGCCAGCTGCCCCATCCTGGAATGCTCAGCCAGCTGCCCCATCATGGAACCCTCAGCCAGCTGCTCATTCGTGGAACCCACAGCCTGCTGCTCCAGCGTGGAATGCTCAGCCAGCCGCTCCAGCATGGAACGCTCAGCCAGCCGCTCCATCCTGGAACGCTCAGCCAGCCGCTCCAGCATGGAATGCTCAACCACACTGGAATTCCTTCCCAGCTGTTTCAGGACCAGCTAATAATCACTTGGCTTCCGCTCCAGCTCCAACTGCTGGTGGTGACAAGTATGTGCCTCATTAGAAATCACAATCACACAAAGTACTCAACAGACTATCGTTCATCTCCCACAGGTACCCAGCCGGTGTGAACCCACAAACCTGCCCCAACTACCCATTCTGTGATAACTCTGCCCCAGCTGGAGCCCAACAGGTTGCCCCTCTGCCAGGATACACTGAACGCCAGTACCCCGCCGGAGTGTCCCCACACAGCTGCCCAAACTTCCCATACTGTAACTAAACTTCTGTGATAAGCCATTCTGACCTCAACTTGAAATCTTGACCCTTTAGACTATCCGTTTACCTATTGCTAAACTCATGCTTTATGCTACCTACCTTTCCGAATACTCAACTAACCTCCAGTCCCATTGGGGTTGACATTGTGCCAATGCTAACCCAACTCCCAACATACTGCCATGTTTGTTTCGTGTAAATACTGTTTCATGAATAGTACGTGATTCACCGTTAAAGTTGTGCATGTGTAATGATAGTGTTCCTTTTGAGTCACTTTTTTGTTTTTGTGTGAAAAAGACAATGAATATAGATGAAATTAAATGCAATTTTGATATTTAAATATTACCTTCTTCGTTTTATTTGGATCGCCCTTTTGATAATATCATGCTCATCAATATTTGTGCACGATGCAATTTATCGATACTTACTGGAAAACATTGTAGAGAAATAAAAACTCCGGAGTGATTTGAGAATGCTTGAAATATCGTTGGGGTGTAAGGACCGCCCGTCACAATATCAGCTTCAATCGACCAAATCGATGCGACGAAGAGACTGCTGGCTTTCTTTTTCTGTTAAAGTCGAACAGCTTCGCAGCATTCTAGAACCTCAGTCGGCGTGCACAAACAAATCTCGCGTCACTTTTCAAATAGACCAATGTAACATATCCACCATTTTGAGAAAATCGAAGTTGAAGTTCGACAGATTATTATTTAAACTGTTTAAAAACAATACGTTTTGCAATACTATTTTTAATGTAGTCAGTGTATAAGAACGTTGAAAATTCAGAAGAAACGGTAAAATCACAATTTTACTTTGAATTTTATGCTACAACATAGAAAAAACCACATAGGACGTTTTGACAAGTCGAGTTGTACATCGGACATGTTACATTGGACGATTTTTCTCACTGACATAATCAATGAGTGTTACATTGGACGTTTTGTCTACATGATACTAGATTCCCTTTCACAGATTTCAGAGTATAGTACCTAACTTTAGATTGGCCCCGCCTTTCGAAAATGAGCACCAATCATGTTAGGCAGTCCGAATGACCGAAGTAACAATCATATACCCATCATTTCAAACTGCACATTGGACAATTTTTGATCAATGATTATCTCAAATGAATGAAAGTAAATTTGCATGGATGTTTTTGTATCACATACAATGATAGAAGAGCAATAGTTTGTATAGCTTAACTCGATTTGTTTACATTTGTTACATTGGTCTATTTGACAAGTGACGCGAGAAATGTTCAATCGCTTGTCTCTCTTTCTCCCGTCGCTCCATTGGTCTTCCTTTCAAGCTTCGTCGAAACGGATGAGCGAAAGAGCGCTCGACGTTGATAGTTTTCTCTTTCATGAAACACATCAACAGAGGTTTCATGACGTATATGACGGAAAATGAAATAACACATTTAAAGCATTTCTCACGTCAAAACACTTGAAGATTACACGTCATATTTCTAATTTATCTTCCATCCATACATTTATCTAAAAAAAATGATTGAAAACGGGACATAACGCATTTTAAACAAATTGAAAGAGCGGTGATAGAGTGTTCGTGAAAGGGGATTGAAAGCCATAATGAGGTTCGTTTAACTAGAAAATCGACGTAAGTTACATTGAAAGCGATGAGCAAAGCAACGACGAGAAGTTCCACAGCCAGTCTTTCCTTCTAAGCGTCCTGCTTTTTTATTTTCGTTTCTTGCTGATAGTCTAGCTAGGCGTTATAGAAATGAAGCGTCGAACACGTATGTATGAGAGAAACAAAACACGAGTTCATTTTAGAGCTTCGAAATTGTAGAGCCCTGGTAAGGACTGTTCAGTTTATAAAAAGAAAAATTAAAATTGCCTGCAACTTTGATATATGCGTATTGTTTATTTGGGATGTTTAAAGATAATATGCAAAACAACATTATGTACTACTTAAATTAATTAGTATCAAACTCATAACAGTTACTGTTGAATAAACATTCGAAGTAAGTCGATATAAAAAACATTCGCAAAACATCACAACATAGCAAGCCTCGTTGGATAATTACGACGAGTGCTGAAAAAATCGAGTTTTGCAAAGAGTTGCATATATTTTAAATTTCAATTTTGAAAAATACTCTTTGAGTTTTAATTATTTCTATCTGTAGAACGCAGATTCGAGTGTAACTGCATATGAACAGCCATAAGTATGATTAAAACATTCTGATCATTCTGTGCTCCATTTAGAAAATTTACACTTGAATTTAACACTTCGAAAATAAATTAAAATGTTCAAAAATTCCTCTGTTGTTGATCGACCGATTTTCGAAAAAGTATCTGTCAAAATTGATTGCTTGTCGGTCAGAAATAAGTCTGCTGGATAATTCACCAAATGGAACACAGCCTTAGCAATGTTGAAAAGGACTCAGCAACGTGCAAAGAAGTCTTTCCCGAGCAGGAACGAATATTTCGATACCTTAAATTGGTATGGATGAGACTGACATAAGATGTAAAATACAAAAAAATAATACCACAAAAATCTCGCGTCACTTTTCAAAAGGCCCTAACTAACCAATGTAAACAAATCAAGTTAAACGATACAAACTATTGCTCTTCTATCAGTGTATGTGATACAAAAACATCCATCAAAATTTACTGTCATTTATTTAAAATAATCATAGGACAACAATTGTTCAATGTACAGTTTGAAATGATGGGTACATGATTGTTACTTCGGTCATTTGGGCTGCCTAACATGATTGGTGCTCATTTTCTAAAGGCAGGGCCAAACTAAAGTTAGATAGTCTTCTCTGAAATCTGTGAAAGGGAATCTGGTATCATGTATAACAAAACGTCCAATGTAACACTCATTGATTATGTCATTGAGAAAATCGTCCAATGTAACATTTCTAATGTACAACTTGACTAGTCAAAACGTGCTATTTGGTTATTTTCTATATTGTAGCATGAAATTCAAAGAAAAATGATTTTACCGTTTCTACTGAATTTTCAACGTTATTATTCACTGACTACATTAAAAATAGTATTGCAAAATGTATTGTTTCTAAACAGTTAAAATCATAATCTGTCGAACTTCAACTTCGGTTTTCTCAAAATGGTGGATATGTTACATTGGTCTATTTGAAAAGTGACGCGAGAAATGTTCCCACAGTACCATTCCAATACCAAATTATGATTATGAAATACCAAAACAATACCACATGGGTATTGTTTTGGTATCCAAATATCAATTTTTGTTAATTTCAAAGTATTTTGCATGTATTTTTTTTTGGTTTTATTCTTTGGTATTTTACCTCTTATGTCATGCTGGTAAACACCAAATTTTGGTATCAGGTCAGGATTAGGTATTCATTAGTTAATTTCTCATGCCCGGGTTGTAGCACTCATTACTGAAAAGTGTCATTTTTCGACACTGTTTTGAATAACATAATGGCCAAATTTTCATAACTAAAATATCAGTGATGAAAAGTACTACTTTACAGCATCCTGTACCAAAAAATTCTACCTTTCGACACTCTTTTGAGTGCAAAAAATTGTGTATGCAACTCGTTGCAAAATTCGATTTTTTCAACAGTCGTTGTAATTAATAACTACAGCTCGTGTCGAAGACATCTTCTTATTGCAAAATTCTTGACTAAATAGGGGAATTTACGTAATCTAAGTAGGTAGCTTCCGTGCTACTTTTGTCATTTTCTCAGCGTTGCGCATACATTTGACGTGTTTGTTTGTGTACATTTATCCTCTGCTTGCTTTTCTATCCATTTCAATCGACAGAATTGTTCAAAACTGTTTGAAAACGTTTTAACAACGCTCCAAACTTCTCAGGTGAGTGTGACTATGGTCAGCAGCCTTCTTTTCGGCAACCTTCCCATTTGAACTGAATGATAACCAGCTGTTCTAGTATCGGCAACACATTTCATTTAATGAAAACTCTGGCATAGCAGAATTGTGCAGCCTTAAAAATGTAATCGGATTAAAGCTGAAAGACTAACAAATCGTTTCAATACATTCAGGGAAGTGTTATGATGGGAAAATACAGGGAAATCAACGTTTAAATTTTGGTTGCCGAAAACAGTCGATGGGTGCCGAAGCCGACATTTACCCTAGCTATTTCCGTTCGCTTTTGAGTGCGGGAAAGTAGCTTTGAGGCATGCTTATTTTAGGCATTGTTCCATTTGGTGAATTTTCATTTCAATTTGATAGATAATGTTTTATCAAATAAACCTGCTATTCTACCAGATTATTTCGGATACATAAGGGATCAATTTAAAAAAATCACCTTTTCAAAAATTGAATGATTTACAGCATAGGGAATTTTGAACATTATAATTTATTTTCGAAACATCACATTTAAGTGAAAATCCTCCATATCGAAAACAGCCTTAGCTAAGAAAAGTCGGCTGTTTTGTTACTCTACTGCGTGATGGATTTCGAAAAAAAAGATAACAATAGATAGCAAACAAAATTTTCTATATTTCAATCTCAATGTTTTCTCAAGTTAACAAGCAAGGGATTTTTTTAATTTTCATGTGATCCATGGTATTTGCAATCTAATAGGCTGCCCTCCAGCATTGGCGTCGCTGTAGGGGGCCTAGGGGGACCTGCGGCATTTTGTTTTGTTTTGTTAAACTACGGTTATATAGAAACTTTGGAACTGCCTTTCTTTTAAAATTCGTAAAGGCTTTTTGTTATTTTATTTTCCTGTTGGATGTGTTTCCACTTTGTCCAATAAACCGACATATTATGGCGAAGCTAACTATTATTTTAATGGTGAAACATTAAATTTTATTGTATTAATTCATAACAACGCTTATAAGCATACTGATTTTGAACAAGCAATGATCGTTTGCTTAATCTTTTTGTAATAAAATTACAAATTGTCGGGATTCCATAAAAATTTTATGGATCTCAAGCTGAATAACATTCTCATGATAGATAATGATCAGGGTTCTATAATTCCATGAGTTTTGTAACTAGATTTTTTAGATCATCTATATTTAATCACCAATTAAACCTCAGACAAAGCGGTGAATGCAGCTAAGTGGGGAAAGCTGTATATATATATATATATATATATATATATATATATATATATATATATATATATATATATATACAGCAATTCCATAGAAAAAAGTTATAGTGGGTCTCAGAATTTCATGAAAATTGGTATAGTTCTTCCTTATCAAAAAATATTAGACTCGTATTTTTTTATTGCGCCATTAGGGTGACCATTTCCGTGTTAGGGTGGTCAAAAAAATCATTGTTTTTCAAAAATGTATTTTTTTCAAAAATTTATAACTTCTGAACCTCTTGACCGATTTTTACGATTGACCCTTCAAATGAA